TTCCTTTGCTGTATCATTTGGCACAGGTCTGTAAATGTTGTTGTCAAGGATTTGGGGTGGGAATCTTAGGCTTGGGGAATACCTAATAGGGAGAGCCCATCATAGCTTGTATTTTCCTTGTTCTAGATGTTGGTAAAAATCCCATGATAACCTCAGCTGTAGGGCACCCGAGATTCAAATAATTAATCCCACAAGCTTTTCAGAACCACATTAAAGTTATTTGGAGAAGGAAGTGTCTTCTGTTATCATGAAAACATGATAAAGCTGTTGAGAAGTTGAGAGAAAACAATGTTGCATGAAATGGAGGAAAACATAAATCAGGAGTTGTAGAAAATGTTCATAACATCTCATAATCAGCTCAGAACACTGTAAAATTGGGTAAAGGACAGTAAAGATCTGGCTGCAGTTGTTTGCAACTAAGCTATTTAAGGATTAATTATTAATTATTTAATAGGATATTGCAAAGGAGGTGCTATTGTGATCAGCTACTTTGTCAGACCTTACTAGGAACTGAAGGCGAGTGCCTGAAGACCCCTGAAAAGAATCCTTAAATGGGATTTGAGCTTAAAGCTTCTTACTGGCTTCTCTTACCTGGAGAAAATACATCCACTGAGAGAAAACCCCAGTTCTGAGAAAAGTAATAGACAACTGAGTCCTGCATTTCTTGTTCAACAATAATGTAAGAAGTATCAGCTGGTCTGCTAGGCACGACAAGTGCATGTTTGTAACGAGATACGTGATATCAAATGGGTGATTGTCTACGGGGTCCGTCACCACCTTCCATGTTTGTTATATGAAACAAGGCTACTGTTACTAGTGATAAACGGAACCAGGCGTTGAATCCTGTACCAATTGCATAGTTACACCACGGGCTGTTTTCACCATAATACTCTATGTGTTTCAAGATCTGTAGACCTAAAGCACCATCCCATCCTGAAAAGGTGAGTCAGGTCATGAGGACTCCTGTTAGCTGAAGCCTTCATCAGAGGAGGAGCGCATCATTGCTTTCACTTAAAATATGCAGCACTCCAGAGTAAGTTTGATGGTCCTGTGATCACGCAAGTGTAAATCAGGCAGACAGGGCCATGGCAGAACTACCATCGGTTCCAACACCAGCTACTTAACCTCCATGCAGCTGTGACCTCCCACAAATTCCTGCAGTTTCATCACTGAGGATGACATCTGCTTGGAAATACAATTTCTTTTTTTTTCCCCCTCATCTTTAGGATACTTTTGTATTTTACTGTTGCCATAATTGTGCTTAGTGTTTTTTGTAGTCCTAATGCCACCTGAAATACCAGACAGCTACTTGTCTCCCTTTATGAATTCCTGGTGACATTACCCACATGGAGTAACTAGGAATAATTGTTGAGTTTTCTGACTTGCAGTGACAACTTACCAGAACCAGCGGCCAAAGGCAGCACAACCTAACCTACCTTTATAGGGGCTCTTAGGAATCGCACCTCTGCTTTACCCCTTCTCTGTATCTTCATTCGCTATCTTCCCTCTCCCCTAGAAGTGTAGTATCTGTTGTCACTGATACAAAGAATCAGACCTCTCGGTAGCAGCTTGATGCCAGGCAAACTGCTTGTGTTAACTGATTGCCTCCATGTCCAAAAAGAGATTCTATCTATCTTCTGCGTTCGTTCTCCAAAGAGCCGCAGATGTTGAGGCCATCGGCTTTCGTTCCCAGCACAGATTGCTACAGTCTATAGATTGCAAAGTCTATAGATGTGTTTATAGACCCACCACGGGCTCTGGAAGGGAGCACGAACCCTGTCATTGCAGGTGCCATGTCTGCTTGCAACAGTAACTGATGAAGAAAAATAATGTTTCTGCACAGTGGGTTTCTAATGAAAAGCAAATATTCCAAATAGGACCAAAGGGGAAAGAGAAACCCAGCTTGTTTATAAATGGAGTACGATACATTTATGAAGTTGTACAAAACGATGCAACTCTGCAAGAGTGACATTATCCTGAGTGGTTATCCTGCAAGTCAAATGCTGGCACTGATACAAAAATACTTAGTTGTAAGAATGTTTGGAAGAAAGTTTGGTTCCTCTCTTGCATTCAAAGAAATTAAAATTTTAAAATGAAGACTTGCTAGAGATGTGTCCTAGAGGAAACAAAAAGATACAGTACGCTCAGTAACTTCATTGATAAAAATCGCCGGAGCAAGGGGAAAAATATATAGGGACACTCAAAGCTGGCTTTGAGAATGCAGAGAATTCTGCCACCTGTTTCTTTCTCACATTCATTCCTGAAGAAGCAGCTTCTCGTGTGTTGTATAAACTCTCCTCTTCTACATCCACCCTCCCTGGACAGAGACTCTCCCTTTCTTTTCTCCTTTCGTTTTTCCCTTTTCTGGCTTCTTCCCACAGGACATCTCGGGCGCTGCCCTCCCGCGGCCCTGCTCTGCCACACGGGGCTGCGCCGGTGCCAACCTGCCTGCACCGGCGCCAACCGGCCCGCGCCAGCGCCAGCCCCGGCTGCCTCCTCCTGCGCCCGCGGGGCAGCTCTCTGAGCAGCAACAGGAACCCAGACCCACACAAAATTCTCCAAACTCTTTGCTCCCTGTTTATTCTCAGCTATCCCAGATGTGATACCACTTTTGTAGCATCAACTGGCCAGAAATGTAGAGTGTCAGATAAGTAATTGTGCACCACAACTTGTTTGCAGGCAGCATCTCTGCCCTGCTTCCAAGAAAATGTTTTTTTTTTTTTTTTTGTCTCAGTGTGGTGTTGTATATAGACTAATTTGGGGCTCATAGTATGGTTCATCATAAGGGAATAATATATCAAAACTGTTTATTTCTCATCCTGTCTCCTTTCAATAGAAAAATCATAATAATTTCATTTTAATATAAATCCACAATCAGACATTATAGAAGGGAATCTAGATAAATACTAGCTTCATAGTTTCTTTAAAGTTTCTGAATAGAGAAAAAACAACCTTATTGGAGTGAAGAGCAGTAGGAAAATTCATTCTTGTCCTTTCAAAAATTACACTGACCTTTCTAATGCTTCCCCTAACTACTAGGCCGAAACCTGTTTCACAGGGGAAAAAAAAAATAGTCATTTAAGGTGCTTCATAAACTCTTCTTAGAGTCATGTGATATTTTAAACATAGGAAAAAGTGTTAAAATAATAATAATAAAATAAATCCCCTATGCCATGTGCTCTAGGTGTTGCTTGCTTGAGCGGGGGGGTTGGACTAGATGATCTCTAGAAGTCCCTTCCAACCTCAACCATTCTGCGATTCTGTGAAATCTCACCTTTATGGATCCTTCCAAACCTTGTGCACAAGCATGGAGCATCACGAGCATTTAATACTGATGAATGCAATTTTCTTCATGAGCTGGCCCCTTGGAGCTGGGATTCAACGCGAAACGCTCACCTACCTCCTGAAGGTTTCCTGCCCTCCGTGCTCCAGCTATCCGTATCGCAAGGGCCGTCATTCCAGGTTAAAGGAAAGCGAGGGCTACAATTTGCCAC